TTTTTTTTAAATTCTGGATAAATAAAATTTTGCAGAATGGAACTTTGGACCCATCATATGTGATGGTATTGGCCAAGGATGGCGGATCACTCCTCCGCGAAACCCATCGACAACGCCTCATTGAGCTGGCAAAAACGCTGCAAGACAACGTCACGGTCGAATTCAGGGGAAAAATTTATGAATTTCGGGATCTTTGCGAACCATACTGTGAATTGAACACAGCATTTCTTGCGTTTCTCAAACTTTATGATCCAGAAAATCCATCAACTTACACCTATCCACAGGTGGAAATTTTTGGGACGCAAACTTTCATCGGTGAGTTGTTTGGGACAAGAAGTTACAAATCTCTTACCCTTTTTTTGCAAATATCCTTAGAAATCAAGGCAAAGGTTCTTTCCCTATGTTTTCTATTACTGGATGACCTTCACTCGGTTAAGGAAGAAAATGACATATGAAAGCTCTCTAGATAGGTTTTTTGCTCTATTATGAATGATGACTTATCAAAATTAGTCACGAACACCATAAAGAGGAAGACCTGCATGGAATACGACGCAGCGAGGTTGTGAGAGCGTAAAAAACTGTCGTCAATTTGTAAATGATTACCGATCACAGTCAAATGTGACAGTGACGCAGTGTAGATACATTATTAATAAATAATCTTAAGAGTTTCTTAAAAGAAAACTGTTATGTTAAAAAAAATCTTTGAAAAGGAATTTGTGGTAATTGATGTCAGTCTTTTTGAAACCAAAAGGTTTGTTAATTGCAGTATTTCGCAAGTTTAATCCTAAGAAACTTTCATGACGTAGCTTTCGTGGCATCATACTTTCATCTACAGTGAAATTGAATATTTGTAAAAACCATCTTCAACTCAACAAGGTCAATCATACCTGCAAAGGTTAATATGGATTGGAGTAAACCCACTGTGTACCACTAAAGAACACATGATGTATTAGGTGCTTAGCGCATCAAGCAGGCCTTCGCCGAACCTTAAACATTGTTGTTTTAAAAGGTACAAAACTATTTACCACTACCTGACATTTATCAAATATGTGGTAAAAGTCAATGGTGAGCAGACTGATTATCAGTTATTACTGTGAGACTTTGGAATTCAAAAAAAAACTCGAGAAATTCTGGTTTTTGCTTTAAAATTTTCTGAGCGCAAGCGATACCCACGGTACTTTTAGGAACTCCATGATTTTTCTTTTTATTAAATTTCCGATATGACTCACATCAGCTTCTTTTGAGGCTTTTAATTTTGTATTGTGAATTGTATTTATAT